CTGGCTTTTGGGAGTGAGTTCTACACTTGGGCTTATGGCGTGATGCGGGCCTAGTATGGGATGGGTCCGTATCAGGGGGTCCCGGGCCACTGCTCCGATTCCGGCACGTAGTGTAAAAAGAATTATGTTTTTTTATGTTAGGAGTACCGGCACAATGTTTCACCCCTACTAAAACATTGTGCGTCCGCCACTGGGGTTTAAATAATTCTCTTTGGGGTTTTTTTTTTTTTTTTTTTTTTTTAAGAAACCCCTTTCTAAATATTTCTACATAACTATTAACTAAAAACGAAAACCTCATCTCATTTTGTTTTCTCATTTTACCCTTGGTGATTAGCGACGTAAAAAAAAAAAAAAAAAAAAAAAAAGAAAAAAAGTTGGAGGTTGGAAAGTAACGGTCCAGTGGCGCTTTGCTTATCCAGAATAAACTGAAACCAATTGAAAGGAAGGTGATCCACACACACCGTCGAGGTGGAACTGTGTGAGAATGCGAAGCATGACGACTCTCTGTTCATCAGAGAGCGTGTTGATGATGAGGAGGATGGCGTCCTTTTCGACTCAATCAACTTCTGCTAAACCTTTGGAATTCTTTCGCTGTTTTCTCGATTCTAATGTTTCGTCTCTTCACACTTCTCAACTTCGCCTTTTCTCCTCCAGGTACGTTGATGGTTTTCAAGTGTTTTCGGTATGAATTTCTTTTATCTAAGTTCATGAACCTGTATGTGATGATTTTTTTTCATAATTATATTTTAAATTGATAATCGAGGTAACGCAATGCATAAATCAATTTCTGGTTGGTGTTTGAATCCCACATTTCACCCTTGCGGGTGTGTTTCACAAAAAATTGAAGTTAATGCTGTCCAACAAATGATGGTTATTAGGCAATAGGTGAATTGGGAATTTCATCAGTTTTGGTCCAAATTTAGAATTGTAGTTCGTTCCTCTTAATTCTCAGATGAAACGTTGAATATTGATATAATTTTTTGATGAATCAAACGTGTGGCTGCAAAATAGACTAATCTTATGCACGAGTGACAATATCTAGCTACCAATATCTGTAAGGTCAGCTTGAAAGTTTGCAAAATGAGTAACCAATTTCTGTTTTCATGGATTCCAAAATGAAAATCATTGCAATTTTAATGATTGGGTAACGTAGAGCTCAGAAGAATCTCATTTCTTGCAGGCAACATTGCATCAAACTACATGACAGGCGATTGAGGCAATGTCAGCACTCAAGATCCCATATGAATGTTAGTCACTTCTTAAGCATGTGTTTGTATTCTAAATTTCCCTCAAACGTGTATTCTCTTATTTGTGTTCATTTAACATATGCTAACCTGTAATTTTGGGAATTTAAGGTACTTCATTCTGATGGTGAAGATGCAACAAAACTAACCCACAATGTAGAGGATTGGGAATGCAGTACTTCAAACAAATCATATTCAAGATATAAGTTAACACCAAAAACATCACTTCCTTTCAAGGATTTATCTTTTGATAATAATACATCATGGAACAGCTGCCTAAAGTTCATGCTGTTTTTCGGGATTTCAACTCTTCAAGATTCTCAAAACGCATTTGCTGTTGGTTCAGATGTTGCTAATCTAATGCAGTCTAACTCTTTTTTTGGAGACCTCAGTGATTTAAGCACAGGTTTTGCTTCAGTTAGTATAATCAATCTCCCTATTTCTGTTTTTTCCCCCTCCTTTATTTATGTCAATCCTGTTTACAAACAAATCCTGACATAATTCTTTTTTCCAGGCATTCTTGCTGATATTTTTCTCTGAGTTGGGGGACAAAACCTTCTTCATTGCTGTAAACGAAATCTTACTAATTTTTCTCATATTTATATTATCAAAAAAGGCTTTAATTACAAATTTCCCCACATGACTCTTTTAGGCACTTTTAGCAGCTCGGAACTCTGCTGCAGTTGTCTTCTTGGGGACATTTGGTGCACTTGGG